AAAAATATAAAAATTAGCCAGGCATGATGGCTCACACCTGTAATCCCAGCTACTCAGGAGGCTGAGTTGTTTATTTGTTTGTTTGTTTGTTTATTTTTGAGACACAGTCTCCCTCTGTCGCCCAGGCTGGAGTGCAGTGGCACAATCTCGGCTCAATGCAATCTCTGCCTCCCGGGTTCAATCAATTCTTCTTCCTCAGCCTCCCGAGTAGCTGTGATTACAGGTGCCCACTATCATGCCCAGCCTTGACCTTCATTTTTAATTTACTGAAATAGTTACCATTTAATATAGACAATAAGCTGTGTGGGTGCAAATGGTTTTCGTTCTCAGTGCTTTTAGAAAATCTAATAAGTAAAATTAAGGGAAACGTATCCAGGATCCTGAGGGCAATTGTCCCTGCAGATAGAGTTTAAAATGAAAGATATTATTTTGGTAACTCAGAAGGTGATTTGAACTTTAGACAGATGACCCACTTCCTGGTTTACTCATCATTTCCCACCATCCATTCATCTCAGTTGAATGCCACCAGTCTTGTGAGGAAGTAGATTAGGAATGCTCATTCCCTGCCTGAAATCTAGAGCTGCTTCACAGGCATAAATTTTCTGGTTAGATGGCACAGAAAAATTTCTTTCCACATTTAGACAGTGGAAGAAGGGGCACTTCTGAATTTAATCTTCCATAGACAGCATGTACAGTGTTTAACATCTTCTGGATGTTAAAAAAAATATTTTACCACTTGTAAAAATGGCAAGGAATAATTTATTCAGGACCAAAGGGGAGATTATGCTCCACTCTGAATACAATAAGGACAAGTGGGATTCATAGCCAACAAGCAGAGTGAGGGGTCATTGGATGGAAAATTACTAAAAGGAGATGGTTGTTAAACCAATGGTTTAACAAGACAGTTCTTGTTAAACTGACAGGACTCTTGTTGAAGGCAGGCCAGGGTGATTAGATATTAAGGGTTCTTACTTAGCAGAATTCTTTTCTTACTGAGTTTACTCTTTTTTTTGTTTTGTTTTGTTTTGAGACAGGGTCTCACTCTGTCTCCCCGGCTGGAGTGCAGTGGTGTGATTGCAGCCTCCACCTCCCAGGCTCAAGTGATCCCGCTACCTCAGCCTCCTGATTGGCTGGGACTGTAGGCGCACACCTCCACACCCAGCTAATTTTTTTATTTTTTTGTAGAGATGGGGTCTCCCCATCTTTTCCATGCTGATCTGAAACTTCTGGGCTCAAGAGATCTCCCACCTCAGCCACCCAAAGTGTTGGGATTACAGGTGTGAGCCACCATGCCTGGCCATGAGTTTATTCTTTTTTTTTTTTTTTTTGAGATGGAGTTTTGCTCTTGTTGCCCAGTCTGGAGTGCAATGGCATGATCTCGGCTCACTGCAACCTCCACCTCCTGGGTCCAAGCAATTCTTCTGCTTCAGCCTCTCAAGTAGCTGAGATTGCAAGCATGCTCCACCAGGCCTGGCTAATTTTGTATTTTTAGTAGAGACAGTGTTTCTCCATGTTGGTTAGGCTGGTCTCGAACTCCTGACCTCAGGTGATCCACCAGCCTTGGCCTCCCCAAGCACTGGGATTACAGGGGTGAGCCACCACATCCGGCAGAGTTTATTCTTAACTAAGAACACTACGCTGACAGAATTAACTCTAAAAAACGATTTCTTAGTAGAGAATGATAAGACCCACAAACCCAGTCTGACCAACATGGTGAAACCCTATTTCTACTAAAAATACAAAAATTAGCTGGGCATAGTGGCGGGTGCCTGTAATCCCAGCTACTCAGGAGGCTGAGGCAGGAGAATCGCTTGAACCCGGGAGGCAGAGGTTGCAATGAGCCAAGATTGCGCCATTGCACTACAGCCTGGGTAACAAATCAAGACTCCATCTCAAAAAAATAAAAACCACAAACAAGGGGACCCAGGAAGATTGCTGTCTCCTTTAAGACAGGTGGGAGGCATGTCCAACGGCCAAAGAGGGTCTCATCTGTTAATATAAGATCCTTGGGGGGGGGCGTGGTGGCTCATGCATGTAATCCCAGCACTTTGGGAGGCTGAGGCAGGTGAATGACCTGAGGTCAGGAGTTCGAGACCAGTTTGGCCAAAATGGTGAAACCCTGTCTCTACTAAAAATACAAAAATCAGCCAGGTGTGGTGGCGGGTGTCTGCAATCCCAGCTACTCTGGAGGCTGAGGCAGGAGAATAGCTTGAACCCAGGAGGTGGCGGCTGCCTTCAGCTGAGATAGTACCACTGCACTCCAGCCTGGGCGACACAGCAAGATTCCATCTAAAAAAAAAAAGACCCTTGGCTTATACCTGTAATCCCAGCACTTTGAGATGCTGAGGCGGGAGGATCATTTGAGGTGAGGAGTTCAAGACCAGCCTGGCCAACATGGTGAAACTCTGTCTGTACTAAAAATACAAAAAAATGAGCCATGTGTGGTGGTAATGCCCCTGTAATCCCAGCTACTCGGGAGCCTGAGGCATGAGAATAGCTTGAACTTGGGAGGCAAAGGGTGCAGTGAGCCGAGATCACGAGGCTACCCTCCAGCCTGGGCAACAGAGTAAGACCCTGTCTCAAAAACATAAAAAAGACTCAGTGAAGTAGTGTTCAGTGAAGCCAGGAGAAAAATGAAGATGACCTCTTATTTTTTTATTTTTATTTTTTTTCTGCTTCATCCGCCATTACCTGAAGCAGAAGATGACCTCTTAATGGCCCTTCAAATGTATAAAGCTTTCTCGTTCAGTACTGAAAGACATAAAAGTCTAGGCTGGGCGTGGTGACTCAGGCTTGTAATCCCAACAGTTTGGGAGGCCGAGGCAGATGGATCTTTTGAGCCCAGGAGTTCAAGACCAGACTGGGCAACATGGCAAAACCCTGTCTCTACTAAAAATACAAAAATTAGCCTGGCGTGGTGGCAGGCACCAAGTGACCACCATGACATGTCCCAGCTACTCAGTAGACTGAAGTGGGAGGATCACCTGAACCAGGGAGGTCCGGGCTGCAGTGAGCCGTGTTTGCGCCACCGCACTCCAACCTGGACGACAGAAAAAGAAAAAAAAAAAAAGAGATCGCGCCCAGGCTGGAGTGCAGCGGCGAGATTTCGGCTCTCTGTACCTTCTGCCAAGTTCAAGCTATTCTCATGCCTCAAAGTTTAAAAGAAAAAAAAAAAGTGAACAGCTCCTTCAAGGGGATGAAATAGGTTTCTTTGGGTGAGATTACTGCCCAGGACTTAGGAGAGCTGTCCAGGACTTAGAAGAGCCGTCCAGGGCAGCTGACCACGCCTGGGGCCAGGTCACCTGAGCACTACAAGTCCCAGCAAGCGTCGCGCGGGGGCGGGGTTGCTGACCGTTGTGACGTTGTGGGCGGGGCCGGGCGGGCTCTCCCTCGGGTGCTTAGCCCCGCCCCCGTCCCGCTCCCTGCCCTTTTGCTGCCGCGCCGCTGCTGGCTCCTGTCCCTGGTGAGTGCCTCAAGTGGAAAGGGGCAGTTAGGGCCTCGGGTGCCCACATTCAGACTTGCAGTCCCGAGAAGGGGCCACGGGGGTAGAGGTGCGGCCGGTTTCTGTTCTCACCGCAGTTCACTCTCTGGGGTGATAGTGGGAGTGGCGTCCTGAAGGCCCTGGAGCCCCGCGGCCCGGGAAGATTGCGGGGCAGTTTTGTCCAGCGGTGGGCAGCGCTGCAGTGCTGTGGCCGGGTGGGAGGCTCCTCTGGCAGAAGAGACACCCCTGGCGGTGATGAGGGTCTTGAGGCGGCAAGCCGCCCTGCGGGTCGTGGCGTCCCGTCCCCTTCCGCTGGCCCAGGCTGTGGTGGTTCCGTAATCCCTCGCCTGGATGTCATCGCCGTTGGCCTCGAGGCGGAGGTGGGGCCTTACTGCGTCACTCTGGGCAAGTTACTTTCTCTTTGGGCCTCAGTGTCCCCTTTTACGAGTAGGTTTGATCCCTTGAAGCGCCTTGCCTTTTGCATTCTGCAACTGTCAGAGAAGGCGTTGTAGGCAGCATATAAGGAGAGGAGGTGTCCTGACCTGCTTCTTCACAGTTGACCCATTGCCCCTCCACCACTAGCCCAGCTTAGTTTGGGAGCTAATGTTCGCACTCGTATATGATTTCAACCCCACTGGACATGTCTTTTTCTATCACTTGGATTCGTGCTTCAGATACAAGCCAACAAGTGGCCATGTTTGGAGCTGAGTAGAATGTGGATAATGTAACTTATTTCTATTATTGGAAACATCATTGCAACCAGGACTTTATGTAGTAGGTCTTTGTAGCTTATGGAGAACACATGATTAAGGAATATCCAGATGGCTCAGTTTCTCAGGTGTTTTCAAGGGACCTAGAAACTCTATCCTTTAGCAGACGTGACAGCTGTGGAGTGGTAAGGGCCTTGAGAAAGGTAGTCAATAATCCTGAGTTACCTGGCGCTAACAGGTCATATTGTCTTTCAAGTCATATAGTACATCTGTGGCTCTTTCAAAATTTAATTTGGCTGGCGGGCGCGGTGGCTCAACACCTATAATCTCAGCACTTTGGGAGGACCAGGTGGGCTGATCACCTGAGGTCAGGAGTTCAAGACCAGCCTGGCAAGCATAGCAAAACCCTGTCTCTACTAAAAACACCAAAATTAGCCGGGTGTGGTGGCGGGCGCCTGTAATCCCAGCTGCTTGGGAGGCGGAGGCAGAAGAACCACTTGGACCCGGGCAGTGGAGGGCACAGTGAGCTGAGATGGTACCACTGCACTCCCAGCTGAGCAATAGAGTGAGACTCCGTCTCAAAAACCAAAAACCAAACAAAAAATTAATTTGGCAGTATGTATTGATAGAACGTCATGTATCCGTAATTTTTTTTAATTATTATTTTTTGTGTTTGACAGAGTTTTGCTCTTGTTGCCCAGGCAGGAGTGCAGTGGTGCGATCTCCGCTCACTGCCTTCCACCTCCCGGGTTCAAGCAATTCTCCTGCCTCAGCCTCCCAAGTAGCTGGGATTACAGGCATGCACCACCACGCCCAGCTAACTTTGTATTTTTAGTAGAGATGGGGTTTCTCCATGTTGGTCAGACTGATTTCAAACTCCTGACCTCAGGTGATCTGCCTGCTTCAGCCTCCCAAAGTGCTGGGATTGCAGGTGTGAGCCACCGCACTGGCCTGTAATTTCTTTTTGAAGATGAAAAGAGAGTTAAATGAGCTCTTTCACTTCTTTTTTCCTTTACTAAGGATCATCAGTATAGCAGGCAAGATCCTTAGAGATTTTCTACCCTGAGCCATGCATTTTACTGATGAGGAAACAGGCCAGAAAGGGGCAGTGTGACTTGGCCAAGGTCTCGGAGTGGCAGAACTAAGATAGGAGCCCAGCTCCCTTGGCTGTTAGCCTAGTCCCCTTTCCACCACACTTCAAACACTGCCACTGCCCGTGCCACAGGGACATGGCATGTGAGAATCACCCCTGTCAAGGGAAAAGTGGATGGTCTCAGTAAAATGGAGATTAGTACACAGGTTTGAGCTGCTCAGAGTTTCCAGTTGCCCGCACCTGATGTCCCAGAACTATTTTTTCCATCTTCTCCTTGAACTGTTGCCGGCACTGTGGTGGTGTGGATGAGATGAGGGTCTGTTTAGAACAAGCTGGACAGCAAATTCAAACAGTTGTTAATAAGTAGTAATAAAGGCCTCCTGGGGTGTAAAATTTTTGTAAGGTGCCCTGAAACATTTTCATATTTTAGGTAAGGGTCTAGAATGGACTTGGAAATTGTGGGCGGGAACAAGTAGCTCAATAATTTGAAGACCAGTGATTGTGTCTTTGCTTTTGCAACCTGTTTCAGGGCCATCTACACACACCCATAGTATCCACTGCCAGTATTCTTTAATACTGGTTATGTGTAAGCATCTGGTTATGCTGGGGCCATCGAGAAATGGGATTCAAATCAGTTCATCCATTTTTGCTAATTGCTAATCATTTAGAAAGAAAAGTAAGCAGAGGGCCGGCGAGGTGGCTCAGGCCTGTAATGCCAGCACTTTGGGAGGCCACGGTGGGTGGATCACAAAGTCAGGAGTTCGAAACCAGCCTGCAACATCATGAAACCCCATCTCTACTAAAAATACAAAAATTAGCCCGTCATGGTGGCATGCGCCTGTAGTCCCAGCTACCTTGGAAGGCTGAGGCAGGAGAATCGCTTGAAGCAAAGGTTGTGGTAAGCCTAGATCACGCCACTGCACCCCAGCCTGCGCAACAGAGCAAGACTGCATCTCAAAAAAAAAACAAAAAAACAGAAAAGTAAGCAGAAAGATAAAGGACCCCTTCAATTAAATTGAGTTTGACTTTTACTTATCTTTGTTTTTCCTGTTCTCAAATGAAGAATTGATTTGCATTTCTTTCTTGGCTGTGGAAGTATTTGATTTCCTTCTGTGAACTAAGCTGTAGTCTTCATTTCTCTTGAAACATATGCCCACTGGTATAAAAGGCTAATGTAAAAATGTTGGCCATTTAAAAACTTTTCTGCTAGAAAGACTATCAGTGTAGTTTGCAGATGCAGTCAGAAAGAGCAGAAGTAGGCTGGGCGCGGTGGCTCACATCTATAATACCAGCACTTTGGGAGGCCAGGGTGGGTGGATCGCCTAAACCCAGAAGTTCAAGACCAGCCTGGGCAACATGGCAAAACCCCGTCTCTACAAAAATACAAACATTAGCCAAGCATGTGTCGAGGGTCCCAGCTACTCCCACTCCCACTGAGGTTGATCTCTTGAGCCAGGGATGT